TCTCTCCTTCTCCTTCTCCCTCTTCCCCTCTCTGCCCCCCACCCCAACAATTCCGCTAACTGACCTGTGAACCATAGATTCGATTTCTGCGAGCTTGATATCGACCCAGGAGTTGTAGTATCGATGGTTTTTCATATGTATTGAGATAATTATAATAATTATGACATTACTAATAAGTATGATAATGATAATATCAGTGATAATGATAACGATAAAAGCGGACATTTGTACAGTATAGCGCCTAATTCTAAAAAATCTGTAAGTCTAGGACAGAAAGACAGAGAAACAACATCAGTCGCTCCTCTCTCTCTCTCTCTCTCTCTCTCTCTCTCTCTCTCTCTCTCTCTCTCTCTCTCTCTCTCTCCCCCCCCCCTCCGTCTCTGTCTGTCTGCCTGTTTGACGTCCGTCTCCGATAGGATAAAGCCATGTTAGCGGAGAGTCTTGAAAACTCCTCAAAATAGTTCAGGAGCGCTCCCATTAGGAATTCAAGCCAGAGCCATCTGTAATCTAGTTCAGCATGGTGCTAATGAGCTATTGGTTCTCCCAGTCTGTGCCAGCAGTATTGGTTTTGGCTTAAAACCCGAGCCAGCTCCTGCTGTGTATAAACACGATGTATATGTCGTGTGACCTAAATGCTTTGACTCTTTTGTGGAACTATGCTTATAGTGCTAGGTATTTTTATAGCGCTATTTGCTTATGTAAGTAAGGTTTGTGTTGTCTGTGTGATGACATATCATGTGTTGTAATGTTTAAGCTCCTTGCCTTGTACTGGTTTTATATTAAGTATTTCCAGTGGGTGGGTGGTTTGCGGACATTTTGATGTGGTCTGCTCCTTCATGGACGCTCTGATGTTGTTCGCTCCTTCTTTCCTATCAGACATCAATCGTCCATTATCTCCTTTTCTATTCTTTGTATGTTACTCTCAAGTAACACCTCTAATTTTTTGCACTCACATGACTTAAGTGCCAATTAACTCTTACTAAAAACAAAATTCAAAGTATTTCAATTTTTCTGCTTCGATGTAGCCTACCTACCCAGCCCATGCTAATCAAGAAGAGTAGAAAAGGATTGTTCTTTTCCTATTGTTACTTACTGATGGCTCCCCCCCCCCCCCCACCCCACAGAGCCCCTGTTGTTCCAGGTACTGATTCCCTCCCTGGAGCTGCAGGAGACATGAGTTTCACCAAAAATTTACGTCAAAGATTCAAAACGGAGAAGGAGGAGCGTAAAGACAAGCTGGGCCATTCCCCAGCGCATGGAGAGGAGGTATTCTTCTGTCGACATTTTCTCAAAAATGGGAACTGAGTGATGCTACTGCTTCCAAAATTTTACGAAGTTACATATGCTAAATTCACAAATTTCTTTGTATGCACATTTTCCATTGGACACTGATATATATATATATATATAATCATGTCAGTTCAGAATCATTTATTTTCGTGTTTATTGACTTGATGAAACCTCAGAAATGTGTCACAATACACAACGGAATAATATGGACGTCTGCCAATCTGCTTGTTACTTTGTGAAAATAGCTCCAGGTCATTTAGCTCCTCCCTTAGTTCCCTTTTTGGCTTTGCATCTGGAAGCAGAAGAGTGGTCCGTTAGCTGTTTGTGACCCTGCGCAGTCCGCCCCTTAAGAGTTTTTCCATTCCGGAACTCATTCTCAGATCTTTTGCTTGCATTCTGTCCTTTTAAAAATGTTTTTAAATGTGTGGTTCATAGTGTGAAATGTCTTTTTCTTTTTTGTTTTTTGTTTTTTGATAACAGATTTGTTTCATTTTCACACGTCATTTGTTTCCCCAGACCAGTCACTACAGGTTTTGTTTCTGTAGCAATAGGACAGAAGAGCATGTTTGTAGATGAAAGCTATAATGTCATAGAGAACTGTGTTCTGTAGGCCTGGTAGAAGCCCTTCTATCACTCTCTCACTTGTTTCAAATGTCACTCACTAAAATGCTGGTTGCCCACTCTGCTGTGCTAACCCTCACTTCCTCACACCAGCCTTCTTTCTACCTGTTCTAAAGTTTCTGGAACAGGCATCTATAATATAGCAGTTAAGCACCTCACTGCTGTATGCAGAAGACATGAGTTCGATTTCAGTGCAGAGATAATTTTTATTGAGTATTTCTGTCTTTTTGCTGGGGTCCTGTATCCCTCTCAACCCATGTCGGCAGGGTTGAAACAGCCTGCCTCCTGAATGTGTTGATGGGGGCGTGAAACATCTACATTTTAAAAAAGAAAGTCTCTGTATTTTTCCAGTGTGTGCTCTTCATCTTTTTATTTTGTCATCCCCATCTTTTTTTTTTAAATTCTTCTTTAGTTCATGTTTACTGATGACTTGTGCAGACTCATCTGAATACTTGTAATGTTTCTTTTTGCGACATTGCTAGATATCATATAGCAAGAGACAAAATTATTAGCTGAAAAAAATTATAGTTACAGTGGTTGATCTTCAATAGTTATACTTGCAGATGCAATTGTGTTGTTTTTTGTTTGTTTTTTTTGTTTTTGCTTCTGCTTAAGAATTTTGTCTCTTTGCTAAATGATGTCTCCATTACATGCCATAGCTCTACATTTCATTTTCATACCATGTGAAAATAAGATGTTCATATTAACGGGTGGAGTGACCCTCGAGGTCCATTTTCTATGTTTGTTGCCTGAGGTCAAATCTAAGTACACATATATAATTGGTGTAGAAAAATCTCTTGATAAGTACTTTTATTTTTGCATAGCTCCAACAGTTACTATGGAAACGGCCGCCATCTTGAAAAGAAACAATAAATTTCAAATCCCTTTGGCTTTCTTATTTATTACTGACCACATTTGTATACCTGAACCAGTCCCTATCTACGTAACATAGAGTTGGGTTTTTTTTAAGTGTAAAAAAAAAAAAAGAATTTTCCCAATGTATATAGACCTTTACTTTACTAAATTTTTGTTGCTTAATCGCGGGCTCATGGAAAAAAGTTATATTTTTTCGCAAATATCTTTGTTACGTTGATGACAGCCTTGCCATCTATTCTATGTTTACTGAAAGTTTTAGGTCAAAAGGAGGAAAACAAAGGAACTAGTAGAGGAAACGAAGGAAGGAGTAGGGAGAAAACTGAGAGAAAAAAATGACATTTTGAGAAAAACACAACAATCATTGTGAAAATTCACTACATTTTGACCCAACCTCATATTTTCAAAGACAATTTACGATGAGAATAAAGGTGTTCTCAATTGTTTCCTTGCTATTTTTAGACAAAGAATTAGTTGACCTTCAAAAATCAGTCAACATCTCAATTTGCATAATTTGACCCATAATCGGCCAAATCAAGGGTCGGTCCTCCCGTTAACTCTCCCAATCTCTTCAGTTGAGGGGAAAGGCTATTTTCTTTTGTCTCTCTTTTATTTCACCCTTTAAAAAATATTGTTTCTCTGTGGCAAACTCTTGTTTTGTTCTGTTCAAGTATTATGGGCAGTAAATTTGAATCTGCTTAACCATATTGATGTCAGTCTATCAGTCTTTAAAGATTTCCTGTGTTTTCTCTGTCTTATTTTATTGTGCCCAAAGAATGCTAGTGTTCCTATATTCATTTTGACCCAGGGCCTTCTTTTCTCAATGAGATTCCTTTACGTAACTGTAACTTGACTACTCCTCTGTATGATATTGCTTTGTTTGTGTGGCCTTCTCTCTGTTGTTTTCTCAGCATGGGAATGTGAAGTTGTTGAGATAGTTGAGTAGAAAACACCAGCATAGATCGTAGTTTTATGCATCTGCCACAGTAATATTTGAACATTTTAGTTTGATGCAGGAGTTGTTCTATACACATGAGCTGAACACAGCTGAAGTTTTTCTTTTCCTCCATCCGTTACAAACTGCTCAAATGGAGAATTTGTTCGAAGAAAATTTTTTTTTCAATCTAGAAATTAACAAATAAATATAGTTTCTCTGGAAATCTGCGAAAATCAACAGGTTTACTCAACAAATATCAAGTCGTTCAGAAAGTACTGTGTTCATTGTGTTTACTTTTGTTTCAGTATAAAAGTGGATGCATATTATTAGGCTTTGGCTTGAGTACAAAAGCAATTTGTCACTCAAACGGAACTCAAGTTAAGTGAAAAAAAAAAGAGTGCCAGCAGCTACTAGAAAACATTCTAGTTGTAATTTCGACCTGCTTCCTTTAAGTCAAAAGAGGTCAAAAGAATGAAAACGTTACATTATTTCAATATTTCTTTATATATGTGTATTTCAGAATGAATAATGCTGCAAGAACTGTAATTGCTGAGAAAAATTTAACAAATCCTTCCACGGTACTCTTATGTTGTAGTTTGAGGAGCAAATCACTTTCAGAAGTGGAGTTTTAATATTATTTAATTTTCTTTGGAGGTGTTTTATCTGATGGTCTTTTAAACTTGGCCTTTTCAAAAAATATTTTATCTAGTTTTAATTACTGTTAAAAAAGGGTGAAACTGACTAATTTATCACATTGAGTGTTGCAGAAGTTTTAAGCCAATCATTTGAGAATGGCTGATGTGTGTTCAAATGTCCTGTATCCATATTATACTGGAGGTATGAATATTTCAGTGTTGTCACCTAAAGAAGATCTGATCAGACTGAAAGGAGTAAAATCAGGGTGAACTCAAATTGCTTCCATTTGTTGTTGGACCTTTAATTATGACAGCAGTAACTTAAGTTCATTGTAGTAGTCCAACATTTCTTTTTGCTGTCCTGATTTCTCAAACATTTCAGAACTGTCAACCCATACAGTCAAGAAATATTATCTGATCAGAGGAGAATAATATTCATAGATTGGGCCTGAAGTCAGTTATGTGTTGGGAATTATGTAGCATAACAAGGGATCAAATTCCCATGACATTTTCTAAAAACTAATATACTGCTTGAGCTGTATCTTATTATTTTTACTCAGATATAGGGCATTCAGCAGTATGGTTTTATTGAGATTAAGTGTCTTTGGTTCTGAGAGATGTAAATTTGTTCCATGGAGATTGTTGTTTAAAATTGAACGTATTTGGATATTTGAATGAAGGACATTTTCACTTATATAGAAAAGCTGTTTTAGATTCTTCCTTATCTGATTCTTTTCCTATATACTTTAAAATTGAGATTATTCATGTTATATTAACAGGACGTATTTGAGTTTGTGGATTCTGGGGATGAATTGAGCAAGTCTCCACCTGCCACAGAGCGAATGCACCCACAGCAGGTAGAAGAGGCCTGCAGCACTCCAGTGCAGGCCGGGGCTGATTCTCCTTCGGGCCGATGGAGCAGCGTGGAGGAACGGCAGATATTTGAGGAGCAGCTGAATCAGCTGCAGGACCAGCTAATGATTGCGAGTATCGAGAACCAGACGCAACGTGAGTGAAGACAGCTTGTTTGTTTGCTTGTATGACAAGTTGGGTCGGAGTGGCTAGGTCAGGACAGAGAATCAAACGGAACAATGCCCTCTAATTTAGAAAGAATATTCAGCAGTACTGACTGAAGTGTCTTTAGGCTATTCCCAAAGTGGGGATATTAATGTGTTCTTATGCACCGTAAAATTGTAAATGGGCTGATTTATCGATGTCATGCTCATACTGTGCCGGAACAACATAAGGGGAACTGCTGCTTTTTCTTTCCTCATCCTTACTATCGTCACTTTTCCTTTACTTCTTTTGTATGTTTGTCACTCTCCTGTGAACTGCTGTTTTCATGGTGCCTTGACTGTCGAAGCAGACTTTGTGCTGTTGAGGCTAGAGAGGGGAACAGAGTAAGCTTGATTCCTCATTTGGACTTTCCTGTTGACATCCATCCCTTGGCGCTCATATGACCTTATGCAGTTGCAAACGCCGTAAAACCTTACTAAAACTAAAAGAATATGCAATCAAGCTTGCTCAAATGACCACCTATGCAAGACAATCACCTGGGCAAATGACCGCTTCCCCACTCCCCCTCCCCCCCCCCCCTTTGCTTTTTTTAATTCTTTTTTTTATTCTGACACTGTTTAAGTCTTCCATCTGTATGAGACAACCACATTTGTCCTCAACAATGGAAGGTTGTTCTGTTGTTTCTGTATATTGTCTTGCTCTCTCCGGGTCCTTTTCTATGGTTCGAAGGTGCTACTGATATGTTCTACTTCTTTTATTCCCCTCTGTTGTTTCTGTCTGTCTATCTGTTTTTCTGTCTGCTTTTTCCTTGCATTAAATAATATTGTGTCAGTGTGTGTCTCTTAACACAAACTAACTAACATTCCAGTCCTTTGTGTGACAGTGACAATGATGTGCTCCTCTGTAACTCGGACAAAATTACTCAGACTAATTTACATGACCACATTTGTGTCAAGTTTCATTTCAGTTACTCACACATAAATGGCTATCACTGTGCTAGCCTTCTTTTCTCAAACTCGGATAGAATTGAAAACTGACCACTCTTATGTAAATCGCATAACTGAAAGTAAAAAAGACAAAGATTCTCAATCTGTGATCACATATTATGTGCTCTCTTTGCAGAGAATGAGCTGAACCATTATCGGAACAAATCGGAGGTGCTGGAGAAAGTGAAAAGCGAGCTCATGTACGAGAGACATCGTTGTGAGTTGTTGGAGAAGAAACTGGAAAATCTTAACAAAAAGAGGTAGGGTGACTATCAGGTGTTGTTGTTGCAATCTCTGTTATCACACCAAGGAGCTTGATCATCATCATCATTGCCTTTCTCCCCCTGGATCTGGGTATAAGTCACAAACAAACACTTTCCTCCTTTCCTTATCCTTGGCTAGCCTCTTGATGTTATTACATGTCTTCCCACTTTTCTGTTCCTTAATTCCTGTGTCTCTTCTCCAGCTCAAGGAGCTTGATAGTTCATCTCTATTCCTCTGTTACAGGGGCAGTGTGCTATATTATTCTCTTTTTTTTTTTTTTTTTTTTTTTTTTTTTTTTTTAATAATTTTTTGTCAAAGAAGAAAGGGTACTGGGGTTACCAGCAGTTGAAAAGCTGTGTGACCTCGGTTCATAGACCACTCCACTGCGGGGGCCCCATAGGAAGTTGTTGAAGAAGTATTTTACTCATGAAATAAAAGCCATAAACCCCTAGGGCAAGATTTATCACCAAAGCAACAATATTTGGAAGTCATAACAATGTTTATTTGTTGATGGGCTGTAGTTTAAGAGCACGTATGAATAGTGTCTGACTGATGTAAGTTTTTACTATTTTGCAATCGTGTTCTCCCTTTTATTCATGTCCATTAAATGATGGAGCAATGTGGATTTTTTCAAATTAATTTCATGCCTGCAACTCCTTAACATGTGGTTGAGATGTTTTATAGTACTGGTCAAGGGGAAGATAGCATGAGAAGAACTAGCATGATGCCAGCTGACTCTTTTGTGTTTCCTTTTACTGTCATCTCATGTGTTATCAATGGCAGGTGGGTGGTTGGAGGACACCTTTGTTGTTTTTCTGTTTGCTTTGGGGATTTTTCCCTGAACTAAATGAATTATTGTGTCAATGTGCTAGCTTCTTTTTACTCATACAAACAAACAAAAAACATTTATGGCAGGTCACACAAGGTTCATCGCAGCCACTCAGATCTGTCAGGCAAAGACAATCTGAGCGTGCCTGGAGGAAGTGGAGGCAGTTCACCTGCTGGGGGATCCCCTGGGGACAGAGCGGACAGTGGGGGTGAGTGCACATTATTGGAAATATAACATATTTTTTAAAGTGCTCAGTCATCTTTAGAGTAGTGGTATAGTCATTAGGCTTTTCATTGGAAGATCACTGGTGTATTTTCCAGCATTTTGTAAAGGATTTGTCAATAAAGAAAGATGTTTGGCCGATCACTTTGTGATTGCCTATGTTTTATACCCTCATCAGCAGAATTAAAATGATTGAAAGGGTGAGCTACTCTCTCCCTTAGCCAAATCTTGTCACATACTACAGATTTTGTTATCTCTGCCCTATAAAAAAAAGCATGTGCTTCCTTCTGCTGTTATGTTCTTGAAAGCATATAAGAAACTATACTTTTTATAGTATCATAGACACAACCTTATCTTGGACATTTTGAATGCTCACTCAGCCTTTTGTATCCTAATTCATCGCTTCACTTTCATATAGTAAATTTCATGTTGTGGAAGTATTGTTTCAGTCCTTTGAGGAACAAGAATTATTCTTTTCTAGAGGCATCCTGGCTTAATGCTTCATGTTCTGTTCTCACATCTGAAAGATGACAGGTGCTGATCTTTTTTAGGAGGATGTTGCTTCAGAACACGCTCGAATGGCCAAATTCAGCTCATGTGAATATTTGTAGCATTTGAGGAAAAACTATGTTATATGCTCCAAGGGTTTTGAATAGTGACTTTGTCTCTCATTACTTTCATTGAGGTTGATATTCACTACATGTTTGCAGGTGGTTGGAGGGTGCCACTGGTAGGTCCTACTTTTTTATTTTCCCTCTGTCATTTCTGTCTTTATGTCATACTCTTTCCCAGCACTAAATGACCATTATTGTGTTGATGTGCTTCTCCTAACTAAAACTAACAAACTACACCTTTTTTGGGCTGATGATGTAGAAAGGATAAAAATAGTAATTGCTCTTTGTTTTTTTGCCTGATCACTTGTACATCTTGATGATTTAAGTGGATCTCTGCTTATCTGTCTCCTTCCAGATGAAAATGCAGAGGAACTGGTGGTGCCACAGAGAAAGAGGAGGTTTTACCATCACTTTTTCCAGTACATAGTGGGTTCCTTCAACAGTTTTGCCGAAGACTTCACCGATGAGCCAATCAGACAAGCAGAGGGAGACCCGGAGGGAGATCCACTGACAGTGAAGAAGTAAGTCAAAGACAGGAAAAGTCCATGTATTAATGAATGGATGGATGGACTGATGGAAGGATAGGAGAGAAAGTAGCATAATATATACAACGGAGTCCGCTGAAAGTGATCATGGTTAATCTTAAAATACAATTGTCAACCAAAAGAAAAGAAAATCTCCACACACACACCCCCCCCCCCCCCTCTCTTTTTGAGGGTGTGGGGTGGGGGTTTCTATTTGAGCAATCTCTCTAACCCGAAAACCCAGCTATATCGCAGAAATTCCGGCGGTCCTGCAGATTTCATTTTAAGCAAACTCCACTGTAATTTTGCGGGGGAATTTCATAGGAATTGCCAAGGAGGCGTTGGTAGTTCTGCATTTATTTCAACCTTTCATTGCTTGCTTTTGTTGGATTCTCTTATTAATTCATGATCAACGGGGGAATTGTATTTAGTTTTGCTTAGGAAGCATAATCATTGAGTCATTCTTGACATTAAGAAATTGTCATATTATTTGTACTTTTTTTCCTGGTTTGGGGTAGGTCCTTGTTGGTTCTTTCCAGTCGGTTCTCTTTGGGGGGATCAGTAATCGGTCAGGGGAAGGTGTACTGAATGAAATATATGTGTCACAACACGAAGGAATCAGGCACTCGTCAATTTTTTGTCGTGTGAATTTATTTAAAGCTGTTCAATTGTCTTGCTCTTGATGAAAAAAATACCCATTTATCTTGAATAGAAGTCGAGATATCTGCGATTGAAGGAGGTGAGTGTCACTTGGCTTCAGAGGTAAAATTAGCGAGAAAATGGCCGTGAAATTTGTTGACTTCCATAGCAGGAGAGTCCTTGGAAATTGAAAATTTACATTTTTTGTGCCTGTATTCAACATTTTTCAATGAAATCCACACAGGAATGTGTTTTTAAATAGACGTAAAAGGTGTTGAGCCAAAAAACAAAATTTAGAAAAAATTGTCAAACTTCGATTTCACTATTTTAACGAGCACTTTATTTCACCACGATGCCTTACATATTGTATGTTTTGTTGAGCTGTTGTCTGAAGAAATCTTGCTCATACATTCTTTGTTTTTTATTCTTCAGGCTGAAAGAAAACATCAAGAGATTTGGTAAGTAATAATGTCTGAGAGCTGAGTGAGTGTGTTCCTGTGACAGCTGTTGCTTGTTATCAATGGTCTGCTGTCCAGAATGTGGGACGTTATTTTTTTTTTGCTTAATGAAGCCAGATGTCTGAAATGTTTGTGATACATATTTTGAAGTGTTTGTTTAAGAACTTACATTATGTTGCTGTAAAATCTGTGAGAGATGGACCGTTGTACACACATACAGCAGTGTGTCATTTCCAGTTTACGGTGTAGGGGCAGCAATATTTGCAATGCTTCCTTTCTTTGAACAAAGCTTTTGTGGGTGGTTGATAGGTGTTCTGATGAGGCTTGCTCCTTCTTTCCTATCAAACGTCAAAAATCCTTATCTCTCCTCCTTTTTTTCTGGAGTTTTTTACTCTCTTGTAACACCTCTATTCTTTGGCACTTATATGACCTTATTGTGTTGCAAGTGCTGTAAAACTTGTATTAAAACTGAAAAACTAGCACAAAGCTTTTACTATAAGGGTAATGCAACCGAAGAAAATGTATGCTCTTGCTCCAGGAAAAGTTTTCCAAGCTCTTTGTTTTGCAATTTCATTAAGGTAAGATTCGAGGGGCAAATAATGTTACAAAAATAGAAAGACTTTGTTTCTTAATTTGTTGTGTAGCTGATGTGGATACGTGTGCAATAGTCTGGGTTTATAGTGTTTTTTAAGCGGGCTGGTCTTGAGCTGATTGGTTCTCGTAGCATTAACAAGTTATCAAATAAGATGTTGGCAAACATTTTGATAGGAAGGAAAGAAAGAAAGTAGTTCAACGTTTCTTAAAGAGAGAGAGTTTTACCCATCATCTTAAGTGAAGTTTTGTGGAGTTGTGCACATTAGGTCCTATTCAGGGTTGACAGGCGTTGCTTGTTTCAAGCCCTTTTCTCTCGTGGAAACAATTCTCTGATCTTTGTATTTTCGTATATTCATCATGTTTTGTCTCATGAGGTGGCATCAGTTGCCTAGTTGTTAGGCTACGAGACCTGTAATCGTGAGATTGTGGGTTTGGGGGTTTAAGCCTGAGCTCGGTCTGACGTTGTGTCCTTAGGAAGGCATTTTATTGAATTTACTATTGGGCTTGACCTTGTCGTCCTTTACTAACATGATAGTTTTGATAGAAACATTAAACTTATACCAGTGGGTGGTTGTTGGGTGTTCTGGTGTGGTTTGCTCCTTCTTTTACTGTCAACATTTATCATCCTTATCTCTCCTTCTTTTTTGTGTTTCTTACTCTCACATCTTTGGCGCTGTATATGACCCAATTGTCTTGCAAGTGCTTTAAAATTCTTTACTAAAACAAAACGAACAAAAAACCTATACCATTTCCATTTGTCACAGGTACTGAGGCCAAGCCCTACCTGAACACCATCCGAGGCATCGGCGAGATTCTAGCTTGGAAGTCTCCCCCATACACCCTCATAGTGTTTGTGGTGGGTGAATCTGTAAACAGCATTGTCATGTTACAGAATAAAAATTGATCAAAGTTACCAAAAAATGTTTCTTTTAGTTTCATGGCTCTGATTTTCATATAAAAATAAATCAATATTTTGCTGTTAAGAGCAGGAAACTACTAATAGCTAATACTGAGTGAACTGATTTTTAAATAAAGTATTTAGTTACCTTCTTTCTTTCTTTTCTTATAATAGAATGCCCCCCATTTCCAAATCTCCATCCCGCTCCCTCTGGGGATGAAAGTGCTACCCGATATTAAAACATGCTCTAACGACCACCTGTCCAAGACAGTCACCTTTACAACTGACCACTTCCCACTTCCCCTTTTGTGCTTTTTCTGTATAATAGTGACACTGTCCAGCACTTCTTCAACTGCATTTATAAAGATCAAACATATTTTTCATTTTCTCTTTTTCTGTGTTTCACTGTAGAGTGTATGGACAGTGAGAATGATACATTGTGTCTATTGAGCTGTGGTTGGGTTCCTTTGCATGACATGAATAGCAAGCCTCGTCCCTGCTGGCATGTCTACTTTTTCCCTATAACATTCATTTGAGATTTACGGATGAGAATCTTGCGTAAGTGCCCACAGTAAAGTGTAATAAGTTAGGTGGAAGAGCTTTTTCTTCCTATGCCCCCAAAAATTTGGAATTCCCTCCCAAAAGAAATGCATGTTGTAACGTTAGAGAGTTTTAGAAAAGTCTAAAGAACCTATTTGTTCTACACTATCATCTGCCAGTAAATTTTGTAGGCTATGTGAGAAAGTGTGATGGTCTGAGAGTTGTGTGTGTGTTGTTGATGTTGTTTTGTTGTTATTGTTTACTGCTCTCACAATGTGCACTTTTTGTCCTATGATGCGTTAGTTAAGTTGAGTGATGATTCTGCATTGTACAGTGCTTAGGGCCTTCAAGGGATTAGGTGCCATGAAAATTCCCATTATTATTATTTTTACTAATCAACTTATACCATGAAAATATCCCTATCACACCCATAAAATAGTAAGACATCCTTACCCCTTCCTTGATTCCAATTGTATTGACCCTGTCTCTTGCTTGGAGCGTATCAAGGAAGTCAAGATCTGAATCCCCCCCCCCCCCCCCCCCCCCCCCCCCCCCCGGGGTGCCACTGACTGAAGTGTCTTTAGGCCATTCCCAAAGGGGGGACATTTCTCATTCATGCACAGTAGAATTGTAAATGGGCTGATTCATCTATGTCACGCTCATAACTGTGCCTGATCTACAACAGGGAACTGCTGCTTTTTCTTTCCTAATCCTTACTATTGTCATTTTCCTCTACTTCTTTTGTATGTTTGTCACACTCTTGAGACCCACTATTTCCGGGGTGCCTTGATAGTCGAAGCAGACTTTGTGCTGTTGAAGCTAGAGAGGTGAGCAGAGTAAGTCTGATTCCCTGTAAGGACTTCTCTGTTGACATCCACCCCTTGGCGCTCATATGACCTGATGCTATTGCGAGCACCGTAAAACCTCTACTAAAACTTAAAAAACAAGATCTGAAGGGAGAGATGTGGTACTTATACAATCTAATTCTTTTATGTCTACCACCCAGGAAAAGCTGTAATAAGCATTCTGCTTTAAAATAAAATGTAAAAATGCAAAATGCCATATGTACAAACATGAATAATGACATTGTCTCTGTTTGTGTGTCTCTCCTGGGCAGGTGTACATGTACTCGGTGTGGATGGGCTGGTTCCTGCCTGTACTGCTCTTCTGTCTAACCTTCAGGCTCTTCATCAACTATCTCAGGCACAGGTATGTAACACACTGAGTGACATTTTGCTAGCAAACAGGTACTCCACAGTAGAGGATGAAATGGCAAATACTAGAAAACATGCCTCGGAATTCCTCTCTACTCATCCTATTTTTGCCTTGTCCCATTTTGCTTACAAAATGGATTTTTTATTATTAAATACAATTTGCCCTTAGATATAAATCATCAAAACTCAACTTTTGTCCAACTTTTTTTCAGTCTGTAACCAAATAAAGTTAAAGTTACACAAGTATATTACATCTATTCAACTGGTAACACATGGTGGTTACTTTATTGCCTTTGGCTTTCTTAAGTCACTGTTGGCACATTAATGGTCCACTCTTACGGTACATTGGCGATGGCGTACATGTGTCCGATCACTGAGTCTGAAGAATGGGTCTTATTTTAACATACAGGTGAAGATTGCTTTGTTCACTAATCACCTCAATGATATGGTCAGCTCATATAGGTCAGGGAAACAATACGTTTTTTAAAAAGGAATTTATGTACCTAATTATCTTAAGTGAAAGGAAAGGGGAAATCTTCATCGATATATGTTTAAGAAAGCAGTAATTACATGAACTGGTAACATGCCTGTATTGTAAGTAGAGTCATTTTTCTAATACTGATGGTGGTTTTCCTTGTCTTGGTCCTCCAGGGGCTGGAATGTCCACTTCAACTTTTTTGAGACAGCTGAGGAAGCTAAGGTAATCAAAATGTTTGTCAGAGCATGTCATTATGATGTCAAATTGTTAACTCTTTCTTTGTTATTGCAGGAGCGGTTTGGCAGTGGTTTTTCTCTGCCCTTTTGACATTTCATGTTGACCCTATCCGTACGTCCTGGGGTAATTTTGTACCCCCGGGGTTGTATTCTTCACCTTTTAGAATACTTCTAGTACGAAGATCTCTTTGAAACTTTCAGTATTTCTCAAAAAATCATTTTGACAGACTGCTATGCAAAGCATACGGATCGGATTAAAGAGTAAATTTCCTCTTTGGAAAGTGGTGGCACAAAGTTCCCCACATCGTATGGATACGGTAGTGAAACACGTTGTACGGATAGAGTTAATGTACATGCACACCTCTATGTTGGTTAAAAAAGTCTAAGTGCACAAGATGTCTTCGGTTACAATCTTTCATCGCTGATGCTTATAATTAGTTGCTGATATATAAAACTTATTTATCAATCGGGAAGTAGACTAATGAAAGTAGGCTTTCATTGTTGTTTTTGCTGTAAATGAAAGTTGGGAAGAAAAATACTCTTTATCTTCTACCTCATCATGTTCATAGTGGTCAGGATTGCTGTTGTCGTCTCTGTTTTCAAGGTTCAGGTCAAGTGGGTTGGAAAGACAACACGCCTCGCTTTGTTCACTGAGTCTAGTAGGCAAGGTTACCCATTCACTAGTCTATATGTATTAATATGGTCTCATAAGCCATATGCTTTTATCACTCTCTATATTTCAGAGGTTTGTTTTGCTGATGTATCAATTGATCAGTTCTTTTGGCAGTGTATTATAGAGACATTGGAAATATGTCTACACAACAGTCAATTGGTAAACAAAGTCCACTGAACTTTTTGGACACTTAATTAGGTTGATATTTTGCTCATACTGCCTGAATCTGAGATATAGAATAGTCTTTTATGGAATGCACAGTGCTCACTTCGATCCTTTTATTTCTT